ATCATATACATGTACGATGTTATTCTATTTATTTTAAGCTGATCTTGTTAACCTTCCCTGTTAAGCTTTTTTCCTTTAATAAATTGCTAATTTTCATTTTTTTAAATATGATCAATAAAAATCATTACAGGCATATGTTGAACGTACGGAAGAGCATTAGTGCCTGGTGTAGGTTTTTTATATACTCGAAATTTCGAGTTACTTACTCGAAATTTCGAGTTCCTGACTCGAAATTACGACTTACTTTTCTCGACATTTCTAGATAATAACTCGAAATTACGACTTACTTATCTCGACATTTCTAGATAATAACTCGAAATTTCGACTTACTTACTCGAAATTTCGGGTTATTTATCTCGAAATTTCGAGTTACATTGTACTTATCTCGAAATTTCGAGTTACTTATCTCGAAATTTCGAGTTAATAAGTCGAAATTTCGAGATAGTAAGCCGCTATTTCGACTTATATTGCACGACTTTCATTGGTTACCTGTGAAAGCAAGGATTGAATTCAAGATACTTTCTTTCGTGTGTAGTTGTTGCACATTGATGGTAGAGCACCTTTGTTTTTAACAGAACAATTTAATAGGGTCAAATTGTCCACATACCTTCGCTTTTTATGGAGGGGGTGTAAAATCACGGGGGTGTAAAATCACACTTTCCACATTTCCGTGTTAAGCGGATGTTTTTTTGCTAAAGCACACATTCAACCATCATGTTGAGTTACAACAAGTCCAAAACCCACCCTTTTCTAAACTGTGCAACATTCATGTGTAAAATAAGTTTTAAATGGCGTGTATACGCCAGTTAGTCTGTCATGTTTCTTTATACTAATAATGTTTTTGTAACATTATTCATTATTTACTTAGAAATTGATTCATATTGTGTTGATAAAAGTTGATAAAAGGAGAACTTGTTGTTATATACATGTTGGGAATAATATAAATGCATCCGATTTTACAAAAATATAGTCAGTCAAACAAATTGACAAAGGCCCCAGCACCCTTATTTTGGCCACTCCGCGATACTTTCCTCAGATGTCCCACACGTGAAGTATAGGATCGTTTTATTCACATGCATGAGAAGAATATGATTGGTGAAAAGATATGGTCGAACAGGATGGATATAACGTCTGAAGAACGCCTGAACGTACAAATTTCGAGTTTGCTTGTCGAAATTTCGAGTTAATAACTCAAAATTTCGAGTAAGTAGGTCGAAATTTCGAGATAAGTTAGTCGAAATTTCGAGTTATTAAGTCGATTTTTCGAGTTAGTTACTCGAAATTTTGAGATAAGTAAGTCGAAATTTTGAGTAAGTAACCCGAAATTTCGAGTTAATAAAAAACATACACCTGGCACTAATGCTCATTCTTATGAACGTGTAGTTTGTTATTTGTGTAATTATTCAATTACTATTTTCACAGATATATAAGCAACAGAAAACTCCGAAAATAGATGTGAGTCCGATTCAGACCCACAATCCTTTGCGCGCTTCGGTGATAATCGGGCCTTCCCGCTAGTCTCCGATTTTCACGCTATCGTTAAACTTCGGCGATATCCGTGAATTATTGCTTACATTACCGACATAGATTTTCATCGGAGAAATATTTGTGTGGAAAAGTGTTTTTTGTACGTTTTAGAATAAATAACTATTGCTTCTTATATAAGTAAAAAATGTTTAGTCTTTTTTTGCTGATGTACCTCCGGGAATTCAATATGGCGGTATTTTGACTACTTTTACCCAGGATGCATCAAATCTTGAGACATATGAGAACTTGTGGGTACACAATTCCGCCGATACTGATTCTAACTGTGTGACATCATGCTCTCTTCTCCATCTAATATTTAGCTCCATGTTATATTTCAATTGATATTTTACAAATTTATGTGGTTTGTCACAAGTTCGTCGAAGTGAAGAGCACCATGAACAAACTAAAAAGGAAAAATCAAGAATACAAAATCGATTTTTCAGAACTAAGACGAATTCAAACGATTTTATATAGAGGACAGAAAGGGGGTTGGGTGGAGATAAACAAAGGTTAAAACCCTAAATTAAGACAAACATCGTGACTGAAGTGGTCGAAATACAGGGTTGGTCTCAATTGTGGATATTCTTATCATTGCTTAAATTCTTTATGACCATGACTTTATTACCTACAACTACAATATTTAAGTATGTTATAATATTTAATCTGATTAGAGCTAAACACATTTCTGAAGAAAAGCTAATACAGTAAAAACCCTCAATTTAGACCACCATCAGGACTGGACCAAAGTGGTCTTAATTGCGGGGTGGTCTTAATTGTGAATATTCTTATCATTTCTTGCACACTTTATGACAATGGTCTATTTCAGTTATTTTGTTTGAACAAAAAATATGTATCTTAACCTGCAAATACAATATAAAAGTTAATGTCGTTAAGTTATTTAATGTTACATCTGATGGGAAGAAAACATATTTCTGAAGAAATTAAATATCAAATTCTATTTAGCCTGATTTCATTATTAATTAGTATATGATGTACAAAATGAAATGCATTCATCAAATAAAAAATAAAATCTTCGCAAAATCGATATGCTTAAAGCAACATTAAACAACTTTAAAATCTACTTTCTCATCTTATTTCATACAATATCCTCCAAAATATAAGGTGTTTGACGTATTGTGAAATCAAGTGTCATGCTCAAGAACGTTCAAGCAGATGGTTACAACATAACAACAAATTTAAGGTCTAGGTGGGTGTTGACTTTAAATCAGTGGTCTCAATAGTGGGGTCAAATAAAAAACAAAACAAAGAATTGGGACTTAATTTGGTGGTCTTAAAAATGGATAAGCGGTCTTTATGCTGGATCATGTTACCATTGACATAAAGAACAGAAAATTCTGTTCTTATAAGAAATGGTCTTAATAGCGGGTTGGTCTTAATTACGGGGATGGTCTAAACTAGAGATTCTACTGTATAAAATTCATTTTGGTTTGGTCTGATTTAAATATTAATTTAAGTATTATGTGCATAATTCAACTATCATATAAGAAATGAATTCTTTACAAAATAAATGTGTCGAAAGCAAAATTAAACCACAGTGACGCAAAACATGTACTTTCTCACCTTATTTCATCTAATAACCCAATAACACTTGTTAACACCGTCATGCCAAAGAGCATTCAAACAGAAAATAACAACAAATTTTGATTTATTACAGGTAAGTGTTGAGTTAAAAAAAGATTTAAATAAGAAATTTAGGACTGAATCTTGTGGTTTTAAAAGTGGATAAGCAGGGTGGTCTTAATTCTGAATCATGTAACCATTGGCATAAAACCACAAAATACGATTCCTTTATTAAATGGTCCAAATAGCGGGGTGGTTTTAATTCCGGGATGGTCTTAAGAACAGAGAGTCTGCAAGTAGAATTTGCTTCGGATAACAGGGCAGTTTGAACAAGGACAATATCAATTTATTTGTTTTAGAGAGTTGCCTGTTTTTATCAAACATTGTTCTATTTGATTCATCGTTATATAATTTAATGTATGGGCATGGTGAATGCTCTATTTAATCATGAACAACCGCGTAACGCTAAGCTTTGATATATCTAATTTATAAAGTTGTCTCCCTTTAAATATTATCACCATTTGTTGTTCAGTTTAAATTTAGTTTTAGAGTATTAGTTTCGAACTGGCCAGGGGCAAATTAACAAATAAAAATCACATTTGAAATTATATCAGATAGTTGAGCTTCTAAATATCTAAATGTGCTATATTTCAAGTTTCAGTGCTTAGAATCGCGTTTCAAATAATTGGAAAAAAATGCGGGAAAACTCATCATAATAATATTATTAGCAAATATATCGTTTTCTCATGTTTGAGGAAATTTCTATTTAATCAAGATCAAATTTTCAGAATTGAAAAAAATGATAAAAGGAAGAAACATAACAGTAATGAAAAAATATAAGTACATAAGGAGGCAGGATACCAGAGTATTCCCGACGGACACACCTATACCCGCGGACACCCGGCCAGACCCCCTAACCATCCCACCATATGCGGTTCTGCGGAATTGAGTCTGGTCCCCACAGGGGCCAGCCGGAATTGGCCAGATATGAGCTGTATAGTACGATTTTCGGCTCAACGTCGGCAAAATACCAGAGTATTCCCGACGTTCACACCTATACCCGCGGACACCCGGCCAGACCCCCTAACCATCTCACCATATGCGGTTCTGCGGAATTGAGTCTGGTCCTCTGGTCCCCACAGGGGCCAGCCGGAATTGGCCAGATATGAGCTGTATAGTACGACTTTCGGTTCAACGCTGGCAAAATACCAGAGTATTCCCGACGGACACACCTTTACCCGCGGACACCCGGCCAGACCCCCTAACCATCCCACCATATGCGGTTCTGCGGAATTGAGTCTGGTCCCCACAGGGGCCAGCCGGAATTGGCCAGATATGAGCTGTATAGTACGATTTTCGGCTCAACGTCGGCAAAATACCAGAGTATTCCCGACGGACACACCTATACCCGCGGACACCCGGACACACCATGGACGACGCTCATTTTTTAGGAATATATCTGATTTTTTTCATCTGAAGTACTCTTGATATCGGTTATTCTGGCTAGCCTGAAGAGCCAGATATCGATGTGATAAGGAATTTGAAACTACATCATGAAATAAATGAATGGTCTTTTGCACAGGTTTTACTGTATCATTTCTGGCTAGCCTATTCAGCCAGAACCGGATTCCGGCTAGCCGGAGTAGCCGGAACAACCGGACTAAACAAAAATATGTTCCGGCTGTCTGGCGAACTTCACGCACATTTGAATAAACTATTACTGTGATTCATTCCGGCTTTTGACAAGCTAAAAGTTCTCGTCTAAGTTCTATTCATCAGCTTGAAAAAATACATCCGTCATTATAATAGCCACTTGACTGATCCTATTGACTTATTTTAAAATATATTTTGTCAAAAGTTTAATGATACATTTTTTAAATAAAAATACTTACTAAATCTCTTAAGCCATTTTGCACTTTGCTTTTGTAGTCATCCACTTTCTTGGTTTTTAAACAAAAGTCTGCAATTGTGTTCAGTCGTTTAGTGATTTGGTTGTCTTTAAATGGTTTCTATAAATATATCATATTCATGTTACAATGGCTAGACAACAGCTCATGTTCAAAGAAAGATGCACTGGATTAATAAAACAGGAGAAAATGAAAACAATGTAACATTGTTTTACCACTTGAAATGCTAGAAGTGCAATTCTGCAAAAGAAGTACAAAATAATTACAACTTGGTAACCTGCAACAAAATTATGAGTACTAATATTTGAGTTTATATGATGACACTGTTTTCCCGTCTTTGAAACAGGTACTCAATGTAAAGCATTGATCTACATTTTATCGTGGTAAATCATTTAAAGTAGACTCATGTTTCATCACAGACTAATGTGTACCCGATTTCATTTACAGCCCTAATGTTTAAATTCTGGACCTGTACTGTGTGAAAATTGTTCAACCATTTTAGCAAGGTTATTCCTTCCAAAAATGGAAATAATTGATAATATAATAAAAAAATATAATAACAAACCGGAACAATAACATCATATGATTTGATCTAATGATTACAAAGTGTCCTGTCATTTGCACTTCTTTTTCACTTGATTCACATTACCTTATGTTTATATTTCATAACATCAGTAAATAATCAATGGCAACCATCTGATTTCCTATAATCCAACCAAACGCACATTAACTTTATTTAAAACTTCCAATTATTTTACCATTAATTGTTGAGTTTGATCAAACTTAGCTACGTCCACGAGACCAGGTTGTGTTGCTCTTTCAAATACACTGCCATATAGCCTTGGCACAGCCAGCCAGGTGTGCACTGCATACCTTGAAAAGACCTAAATAAAATGCTACCCAGATGAATATCCTATAGCTGAAGGCTAGGGGAAGTGTAACAACACAGAAATTCCATTTCAAACGTTTAATCATGCCCCCGCCATAAAATGGCGGGGACAGATAGTTTTACCCTGTTTAGTCATTTCGTCCTTCTGTCATTCCATCATCATCAGTTTCCGTTCATAATCTTAGTAACTGTTGCACACATTCAACTCAAATTTTTCATATTGATATATCATGAGAAACTACAGGTCAAGTTCGAATTTGGTCATGGTCCGATGATTTTTCACAGAGTTATGCCCCTTAATAAAATTTTCAGTTTCCGATCATTATCTCCCCAACAGTTGTACATATTCAACTCAAATTAGCCATATGGATATGTCATAAGAATACACTGGTCAAGTTCGATTTTGGTCATGGTTTGATGAAAGTTGACGGAGTTATCCCTCTTGAACTTTAAAAAATCAGCAATCTTTTATTTCTGTCCATTATCTCCCCAATGGTTGTACACATTCAGCTCAAATTTGACATATAGATACATCTCAGATATAAACAGTTTAAGTGATCTCTCTTGAATGTTGGAAATATTTTGAATTTTCAGCACTCATACTGTTGTGGAAATGTATGTAGTCATTGTTTTGGCTACAAATATGCAATATGCAATTTACAAAAGTTTAACATAGTTTCATTGCCTTGCACTTTGTATAACAAGTTTGCATTTGAGAAAAATGCTATGCCACCGCATTAATACAACACTAAATAGTAGTGTGAGAACAGATTTTTTTGTTTCTATACAATTAAAGATTGTCATAATGCATAGATCCCTGGCCTATCTAATTCTTATTATCAGATTATTGGTAAAATCTATTGTTAATCCAATAAAAGATCAGAGTAGGAATATATCCATGCACTTGAGTCTAGTGAATTTGGTGGTGAAGGTCATATTTCACACAGCCTAAATTTCATGACTACATCAAAGGACAAAACGGTAAGACACTTTGTCAAAATCTTCAAATAACATTGTAAGTCAAATATCTAAGCTGTACCTTTCTCCCATTCAGAAAACATTTGTTTGATTTTCTGTTTTTTATATGTGTACATAATGAGAATCACTGCCCCTGGGCAGGGTCAATTTTGACATCAGGGGAAAATTTGAACAACTTTAGTAGAGGACCTATAGATGATATAGGTATATAGCAAACATCAAAGCTCTATGCCTTGTACCTTCAGAAAAAAATATTTAATTTTTACTATATGTACATAATCAATGACCCCCAGGGCGGAACCAATTTTGACCCCAGGGTTATAATTTGAACAATCTTGGTAGAAGTTCACTTCGCAAAGTCTCATGCCATATATTTAACCTCTTAGACTAGCCTTTGTCAATTCAGAGAAGAAGATTTTTTCAAGTTTTTACTTTAAACATATAAGGAAAACTATCGCCTCTGGGGCAGGGCAATTTTAACACTAGGGGCATAATTAAAACAACTTTAGGAGAGGACCCATAGATGATATTATATACCAAATATCAAAGCTCTAAGCCTTGTACCTTCAGACAAGAACTAAATGCACATAGTGAAAATCAATGACCCCTGTGGGTGGGGCCAATTTTGACCCCAGGGCTATAATTTGTACAATCTTGCTAGAGGTTCACTACACAATGTTTCATGCAAAATATCTTAACTCTAGCCTTTGTAAATTTAGAGAAGATGATTTTTAAGCTTTTATTATATACATATAAGGAAAACCTTTGGCCCCTGGGGCGGGGCTAATTTTTACACTAAAGGCAAAATTTGAACAACTTTGGTAGAGTACCAATGACCCCCGTTCACTATATAATCTTTAGAACGAACACACACACACACACACACCAACACACACACGCACGCACGCACGCACGCACGCACACACACACCACACACACACACACAGGTGATTCGCTATATGCCACCGCATCGCAGATGCTGCGGTGGCATAAAAATGCTTTGTATTAACATTGAATAGTTTTAAGGGCTTTGAATTTAAAACAAGAGCCGGTTGAACCGAGTTATGCTCCCCGACTAGGTTTTCGACAATGAAAAGTATATATTTTGTTGTTACAGAGTTATGTTGATCATTTCTGTGAAATACTTTAAAATCCGACTTCAAATAACAAAGTTACGGGCCGGACACGGTTTTGCTGCAATGTCATGCTGTGACCTTGACCTTCAAGGTAGCGACCTAAATGTTATACACGATACGTTGTCTCAATATGGTGATCATATCTGTGAAATAGTTGTAAAATCCGACTTCAAAAACAAAGGTATGGGCCAGACACAATTTTGCTGCAAGATCATGCTGTGACCTTGACTTTCAAGGTAGCGACCCAAATGTTACGCGCGACACGTCGTCTCAATATGATGATGATTTCTGTGAAATAGTTTAAAAATCAGACTTCAAATATAGAAGTTTTTGGCCGGACACGATTTTGCTTCAAGGTCATGCTGTGACCTTGACTTTCAAGATAGCGACGCAAATGTTGCGCGCGACATGTCGTCTCAATATGGTGATAATTTCTGTGAAATTGTTTAAAAAAGTTCAAATTTCTATAATACTATAAAAACTGCTTCAACACTAATCAAACTTGGTTCAAATGTTGACTGGACCATTGCCCTTGCAACAACATGCTCAGGCTTAAATTTCCTGTTACCATGGCAACGAGGGGACATCTCAAAATTGCCAAATATCACTATTTTGCGTTGATTTTTTCCATCAAAATTGATTTCAAAGTGCTGCAACTTCTCAATGGATTGAGATAGATACAAATGCTTTTCAGCGTTGGCTACACGTTACCTTATGATCAATCTGGGGTCATTTATAGCCTCTCACAAGTCCAAAATTTTCTTGGCGATGAGGGGGACTCCGCCCCCTTCAAACCCCCCAAAGAGAAGGGGGCACATCCCCCTTCTGGCAACCCCCTGATGTATCTTTTGGTTGGGGGCCGCGCCGAAAAAGAGGTCAATTTTTTGAACAACATTTTTCAAACAAAAAACAAGTGTTGGGGGCCTAAATAAGGCATATTTTCACCATTTGAGACAACATAAAGGGGGGGGGGGTGAAAAAGGCGTTAAAAGGCGTGTATATAACGTAATGGGTTAACAGAAAATGATGAAAATACTTGAAATTACCCTTAATCGCGTTTTTTTCATGTTTAAACATGGCCTGTCATATAAATTTGAAGAAAAATTGTTGTTTTGTAGATTTTTTGATTTTTTTCATTAACCCATTACTTCATGAGCATTTTGTGAAAAATGGCTGTTTTCATTGAAAAGTCTCCCGTTTCAAGTTCAAATTGCTATAATACTATAAAAACTGCTTCAACACTAACCAAACTTGGCACAAATGTTGACTGGACCATTGCCCTTGCAACAACATGCTCAGGCTTAAATTTTCTGTTACCATGGTAACGAGGGGACATCTCAAAATTGCCAAAAATCACTATTTTGCGTCGATTTTTCCATCAAAATTGATTTCAAAGTGCTGCAACTTCTAAGTGGATTGAGATAGAGTCAAATGCTTTTCAGCGTTGGTTACACGTTACCTTATGATCAATCTGGGGTCATTTATAGCCTCTCACAAGTCCAAAATTTCCTTGGCGATGAGGGGGACTCCGCCCCCTTCAAGCCCCCCAAAGAGAAGGGGGCACATCCCCCTTCTGGCAACCCCCTGATGTATCTTTTGGTTGGGGGCCGCGCCGAAAAAGAGGTCACTTTTTGAACAACATTTCTCAAACAAAAACAAGTGTTGGGGGCCTAAATAAGGCATTTTTTCACAGACAACATAAGGGGGGGGGGGGGTAGAAAAAGGCGTTAAAAGGCGTGTATATAACGTAATGGGTTAAAACAATATTTAGTGTGTAGCTCGAATTGTTTTATTTAAGTCTCACTTGTGGCAGGATGGGTATGCATAAGTAATAATTGTGCCAAGTTCATGAAATTCTTACTGAATATGTCTAATTTGAATAAAATGATGTGCAAACTATGTGTTAGAAGCTGTGTTCCCTGTTACAGGTTAAGTAGAATTAATTCCTTTTTTAATGACACTATAATTTTTTATTCATAATTTGGCCTCCTATAGAACTTCAAACATAACATTTCTCCTTCGCATGATGTAACAAACATGTTGATCTATAAGAAATAAATAAAACTGCATTTGTGAAACAAGAAATGTCGAACATCACATATGCCCCCTTTCTACCCCTTGACTCACATTATTGGTAATTTTGTTACATGGAACTGTCATAATTGGGTACATGGAAGTGTTCAGTTAATGAAAAAAGAAAAATTAATGACCTACTATTTATAACCAATCAATATGTGAAATATGAAGACTTTGACCAATGAACTAGTGACCCCAGTATGCTTAATAAATATGTGAAATATGAAGACTTTGAGATAAAAAAGTTTTAAAAGTAATAAGCTGAAACAATATTTACATTTAAGACCCCTGTGACCTTGACCTTTGAACAAGTGATCCAAAAATCAATAGGGTCATCTACTACATATGGCTAGGCAAGGTGTGAAATATGAAGACCGTGTGATAGTTTTCATGTTAATAAGAAAATAAACATTTTTACATTAAAAGCCACTGTGACCGTGACCTTTCACATAGTGACCCCAAATTCCACAGGGGTCCTTCACTACTTATGACGAATCAATATGTGAAATATGAAGATTTTGTGATACATAGCTTTCAAGATAATCAGCAGAAACCATACTCCAATTCAAGGCCCCTGTGACCTCGACCTTTGAACTAGTGACCCCAAAATCGAAAGGGGACATCTACTTTTTATGACCAATCAGTATGTAAGATATGAAGACTTTGTGATAAATTTCTTTCGAAATGATAAGCAGAAACCATTATCACATTTAAGGCCCATGTGACCTTGACCTTGGACCTAGTAACCCCAAAATCAAAGGGGTTATCTACTAGTTATGACCAATCACTATGTGAAATATGAAAACTTTGTGATGAATAGTTTTTACGATAATCAGCAGAAACCATTTTGACATTTAAGGTGCCTGTAACCGTGACCTAGTGACCCAAAAATGAAAATGGGTTATCTACTAGTTATGACCAATCGGTATGTGAAATATGAAGTCTTTGTGATGAATAGTTTTCAAGATAATCAGTGGAAACCATTCTAACATGAGGCTATGTGACCTTGAACTTTGAACAAGTTTCCCCAAAATCAATAAGGGTCATCTACTACATATGACTAGGCAAGGTGTGAAATATGAAGACCTTGTATTAGTTTTTATGATAATGAGAAAAAACATTCTGACATTAAAAGCCCCTGTGACCGTGACCTTTGATCTAGTGACCCCAAAATCAAGAGGGGTCCTTCACAACTTATGACTTATCACTATGTAAAATATGAAGACTTTGTGATAAATAGCTTTCAAGATAATCAGCAGAACCATACTCCAATTCAAGGCCCCTGTGACCTTGGCCTTTGATCTAGTGACCCCAAAATCTAAGGGGACATCTAATATTTATGACCAATCAGTATGTAAAATACGAAGACTTTGTGATAAATATCTTTCAAAATAATAAGCAGAAACCATTATCACATTTAAGGCCCATGTGACCTTGACCTTGGTTCTAGAAACCCCAAAATCAAAAGGGTTATCTAATAGTGATGACCAATCACTTTGAGAAATATGAAGACAGTGATGAATATTTTTTAAGATAATCAGCAGAAACCATTTTCACATTTCAGGCCCCTGTGACCTTGGCCTAGCGACCCCAAAATGAATATGGGTCATCTACTTGTTATGACCAATCAGTATGTGAAATATGAAGACTTTTAGATGAATAGTTTTCAAGATAAACAGCGGAAACCATTCTAACATTTTATGCTCCTGTGACCTTGAACTTTGAACTAGTGACCCCATTCTTAATGATTTTCATTGATTAAAACATGGCAAAATGTAAACGTGGTTGGAGTAATAAGATGACCTGTAAACTATCCTAATAATTTTTTATATCAGAATGATTCAACTATGTTAAGATTATGGTTTGAGACGTTTGTACACCAATTTGAGCGCTGCAATGGCAGGGGAAGGCAATTTACCTTCATATTCTTTCTCTTATTTTAATTATATATTTAACTGTAAGATCAGAAAAAACAAAATTTTAAGAAAATCATACCTGGTTACACTATTACATTATGTTACAAAGATTTTCATTACCTCTATACTTAACAAAAGTTCTAACCGATCACTTTTTAAATTTTGATTATTTTATAACGGGTCAATAGATCCTTATAAAATTGTGCAGATGTGATTTTTGTGTCTTTTTCTACCGATTTGTGGAAAGAAAAATATTTTAATACAGTTCCATGCACTCAAGCGGGAGACAGGGCGCGGTTTACACATTTTGGCAAGAACTGTTCGTGCAGAGCATGGTGAGTATTAAATTTTACATTGCATAAATCCTTGTTACATTTATAGGTGAAGAAATATAAAACATGGCACGAATGTCGATGCAGGATCGTGCCGTAGCAGTTGGAATGTTGAATTCTGGAGCCTCTATCAGACAGGTGAGTGGCTGTTCATCAAAAATGTTTTTTTTTTAAAAGTATTATTTAAATAGAAAAATGTTATTATTCTCAATGTGTTCATTCCTATTTCAGGTCGCAAGACACTTCAATCGGGCCTTTTCGACGATCCATGGACTTTGGACTAAGTATCAAGGGACCGGAAACGTTTCTGACTTACGCCGCAGACCAAGAAGAAAGGTTACAACTCGCCGACAGGATCGGTATATTATTGTGAGTCACTTAAGGATTCGTTTCACACCTGCAACATCCACGGCTTCACGTAAAAGTGGCATAAACAACTGCCGAATATCACCACAAACTGTACCTAACCGCCTCAGAGCCGTCGGGATAGTGCCCGTCGGCCTTTTAAGGGGCCTATTTTTACTGCAAGACACCGACGGAATCGTTTGACGTGGGCCAGACAACATCTTCGATTTACCAGGGCTGACTGGGCCAATGTGTTATTTGTGGACGAAACACGAATCAAACTACGCAATGCGGACTGGGCAAGTACGTGTATACCGTCGCCAGGGTGAAAGGAATTATGCCAACTGTGTCGTCGAGGTTGACAATTTCTGTGGTGGCTCATTGATGGTGTGGGCAGGCATGTCAATGCACACCAAGACAGTGATCGTACCTATACGAGGTAATCTCAACGCCCGCAGGTATCAGGATGATGTTGTGCAGCCAATTCTACTGCCTCACTTACGGATAAATCATGGTACGTTGTTGGCGGAGGACAATGCCCCATGTCATGTTGCCAGAACTACTTATAACATGTTGGCAGCCAACAATGTCAGAGTCCTTCCATGGCCATCGAAAAGCCCGGATCTCAATCCGTTGGAACACGTATGGGATTTATTGAAAAGACGTGTCCGTGATCTGCTTCAGCCGCCACGTCATATCGGTAAATTGGAGTGTGAAGTCCAACGGATCTGGAACAATATTCCACAACGAAATCTTCAGAATTACATAACATCAATGAGGGGCAGATACTGAGCCGTAATAGCAGCTAACGGGGGGCATACCGGATACTAAAGGAAATGACGGTACATGTTTTACGGGTGACCTTCTTTATTGTGCTTTTGTGCTCCAAGCAGCTGTGTGAATTTAATGAAATTTCATGTGAACATTGTAAATGAAATTCTCTTCGAAATAAAACAAAAGTCGGATCTATTGGCATTATTTTTTCATATATGAGCGAAAACTCAGGGTGATCGGTTAGAATTTTTGTTCAGTGTATTTGGTCAATTATCTACACGCAAAATCATGGATGCAAATTCTATCCCTGAGCTAAGTGGATGGTCATTTCTGTTTTCAAATAGTGTTTAAATGAGAATAAAACATTTAATTACCTTTATGTTCGCCATAATTTTCCCTTGAGTCATATTTTTCAGGTAAGTATGTTGAATTCCCTCTGGTTTCAAACTGGTCAATACTTCCCGGACCACTTATGTAAATAAGAAAAAATGAGTACAATTATCAACAGCAATAAAGACAAGAGTCCCGCTGATGTGGGGAAATATATGCCCATCAAAATCTACCCGAAAGATGAGCTTTCATAAAGGACTCCATTGATAATTTCTTAAGGTATTTATAAATCTATCGGGCGGTTGAGGACAAAATATTACACTGACCGTGATCTTGTTCAGCACACCGAAAATATTTTGAGCAATTATAACAGACGACTATCCAAGGACCATTCCTATTTAGTCTTATCAAAATCTACCAAATAAGTTAGGAGATGTACTTTAAAAAATATATTTTTTTGCTCTAGCGGCCATTTTGTTCAGAAAACCAGAACAATTTGAGCAACTTTTATAGAAAACTATCATGGGATCATTCCTGTGGAGTTTCATCAAAATGTTCCAAATTATTCAGGAGGAAGATCTCATTGAAAGTTTTTAGCTCATCTGACAAAGAAGTGGTCAAGGTGAGATATAGTGATGGGGCTATGTCCGGCGTCCGTAGTTGTGCGTTGTGCAGCATTCGTCGTCAACAATTGGGTTGTTAACAGTCTAGCAGTCACAGTTTTGATTGGATCAATATCAAACTTTGTCAGAATGTTTGTCTCAATGAAATATAGATCAAGTTCGAAGATGGGTCATCTCGGATCAAAAACTAGGTCACATCAGCTCAAAATAGAAAAATCTTGTTAAAAATCTAGTGGCTGCAGTTTTGATCCAAATATTCTGAAAAATTGCCAGGAAGGTTGTTTTGATGATTTCTAGGTCAAGATGGGTTATCTTGGGTAAAAAACTAGGCCATACGGGCTAAAAATAGAAAAAGCTTGTTAACAGTTTAGTGGCTGCAGTTTTGATCCAAATATTCTGAAAATTTGTCAGGAAGGTTGTTTGGATGATTTCTAAGTCAAGTTCGAAGATGGGTCATCTCGGATCAAAAACTAGGACACAGGGGATAAAAATAGAAAGGCTTGTTAACACTCTAGTGGCTGCAGTTTTAATCCAAATATTTTGGAAATTTGTTAGGAAGGTTGTTTTAATGATTTCTAGGCCAAGCTTGAATATGGGTCATCTCCGGTCAAAAGTTAATTCACAGCCGATAAAAATAGAAAATTTTTGTTAACAGTCTAGTGGCTGCAGTTTTGACCTGAATATTCTGGAAATTTGTCGGGAAGGTTGTTTTGATGATTTGTAGGTCAAGTTCGAAGATTGGTCATTTCGAATCAAAAACAAGCTAACAGGAGCTAAAAAAAGAAAAATCTTTTTAACAATCTACAGGCTGCAGTTTTGATCCAAATATTCTGGAAATTTGTCAGGAAGGTTGTTTTGATGATCTCTAGGTTAAAGTTGCATATGACCAATATCTGCAGTGTTGATCAAAATATCCTGAATATTGGTCAGAAAAGTTGCTTTGATGCTTTAAAGGTCAAGTTCGAATTTGGGTCAAATCCGGTAGAAAAGAAGGTCACAGAAGCTATAAATAGAAAAAAGCTTCTTATCAATCTAGTGACTGCAGTTTTGACCCAAATTTCCTCGAAATTTGTCCTAAAGGTTATTTTGATGATTTGTAGATCAAATTCGAATATGGGTCATCTACGGTCAAAAACATGGTCACAGGAGCTAAAAATAGAAAAATCTTTGTAACACTCTAACGGCTGCAGTTTTGATCCAAATATTCTGGAAATTTGTCAGGAAGGTTGTTTTGATGATTTCTAGGTCAAGTTTATATATGGGTCACCTGGGGTCAAAAGCAAAGTCACACTACCCAAATATGATAAAAATTGTTAACACACTAGAGTTCACACTTTTGACTCCACTGTCATCAAACTCGGTCAGGAGATACTACTGTCAGTCAAGGGCAATAACTCTAACAAAATTGAAAAAAAATCCACATGCAAAGTCCCAGGTGCATAGCTTCACAGTGATGCTGATCATTATTCTTGTAAAGTTGGTTGATTCTAACTCAAGCACTCAAGGAACAAATAACAACATATAATTAAACGGATTTTACTAAGTCAAGGGAAATTACTCTACAAATACTGGATAAATCCACAAGCGAAACCCAAAGTGCACAAATACATATGCTGAGCATTCTTCTCGTAAGGTTCCATGACTCTACGTCAAATCCATTCCTGTAAAGTTTCATGACTCTATGCAAATCCTTTTTAGTGACATGCGACACAAGTTGAAAATTGCAAAATTAGTAAGTCAAGGGCAATAACTCTAAAAGTACTAAATATATCTACACGAAAATACCCAGGTGCACAACTGCACATGCTTATCAACATTCCTGTAAAATTTCATGACTCTAGGTCAAATACTTTTTGAGTTACATGCGACACAAGTTGAAAATTGCAATTTTTTACTAAGTCAAGGCAATAATTATTAAAATACTAAATAAATCCACACCTAAATACCCAGGTGCACAACTACACATGCTGATCAACATTCCTGTAAAGTTTCATGACTCTCTGTCAAATACTTTTTGAGTTACATGCGACACAAGTTGAAAATTGCAAATTTTTACTTAGCCAATGGCAATAACTCTACAAATACTAAATAAATCCAAACGAAAAATCCCAGGTGCACAACTAAACATGCTTATCAACATAACTGTAAAGTTTCATGACTCTAGGTCAAATACTTTTTGAGTTATGTGCGACACAAAAGAGAACGGACGGACGGAAGGAGGTCCGGACAGACGGACAAGGTTAAATCTAAATGCCCGCCACTAAAGTGGGGGCACAAAAATAAAATTTCACCTTAACATTAATATTACATAATATACTCATTCATAAAATCCTTCCTAAGTTTTTTCTTTGGAAACCAATAATTTCACAGAAATTTGATGAGCAAGAGGACCCTTGGGCCCTGGGTTTCTCCCCTGTGGCAAAATGATTTTAAAGATTAAAAAAAAATCTTTTGGTAGCCATGGCAACCAGAGTTCTGGATGGAATTCAATTATTTGAACAGCTATAGTACAGCTAAATGCAAGAAACATGCCTGCAAAGTTTCATTAAATTTGGCCACGTGGTGTTGGAAGAGAAGTCATTTGAATGAAAAAGTTTACGCATGGATGGACGGACGAAAGACGACGGACAACACAGTGTCACAAAAGCACACCTTGTCACTCTGTGACAGGTGAGCTTAAAATTGATAAGACCACTGGCAGGGCCCCTTTTCATCCTAGGCGAATAATTTGAAAATCTTTGTAGACGACCACTTAATCACATTACATACCAAATATCAATGTTCCATACCTTATGGATTTTGACAAGAAGACAACTTTATATAAAACTGAAGCCCCCTTGCAGGACTCCTTTTGATCCTAGAGACAGAATGTGAACAATCTTTGTAGAGGACCACAAAATGAGGTTACATACAAAATATCAAAGCTGTAAGCCTGCGATTTTTGACAAGAATATTTTAAAGACATTTTGTAAAAATTGAGTAACCCCCAAGGCGGGACCCTTTTGAACTTAGGGGCATAATTTGAACATCTTTGTATAGGATCATGTTACATACCAAATATTAAGGCTCTAAGATTTCGGTATATGACTTTAAAAACTGGCTATATGGCTATAAAACTGTTGAGCCCCCTGGCGGGGTCCCTTTAAACCATAATTTGAACAATCTTTGAAAGGACCACTAGATGATGTTACATTCCAAAATCAAAGCTCTACACCTTGTTTTTGACAAGAATGTTTTTTAAGATTTTGTTAAAAAAATTTTTGGTTGCAATCATGGCAACCAGAGTTCTTCAAGAAATTTAATTCTTTTAACAACTCATGTAGAGCTTCGTGCAAGGATCATGCCTTCCAAGAATCAAAATTTAGCCAAGCGGTATTGGTTTTTAGAAGAAACAGAAGGGCCATGATGGCCCTAAAGTCGCTCACCTGTATATAGGCCCCCACAGCGGGGCCAGTTTAAACCCCAGGGCTTTTATTTGAACAGAAGATGTTTCATGCTAAACATCTAAGGTCTAGCTCGCTGAGTGTTTAAAAAAAAGATTTTTTTAAGTTTAAACTATACACACATAGTTAAAAGCAATGACACCCCCGGGGCGGGGGCAGTTTTGACCCAAGGGCTTTTATTTGAACAACTTTGAAGACACTCACTAGAAGATGTTTCTTGCTTAATATCTAAACTCTAGCTATTTGGGTTTTTTTTTCAAAGAAGATTTTTCTAAGTTTTTGCTATAAACATAAATAAAATCAATGACCCCCAGGGCGGGGCCAATTTTAACCCAAGGGCTTTTATTTGAACAAACTTTGTTGACACTTACTAGAAGATGTTTCATGCTTAGTATCTAAACTCTAGCTATTTGGGTTTTTCAAAGAAGATTTTTTTTAAAGTTTTTGCTAATTTACACATATAAGGAAAACCAATGACCCCCGGGGCAGGGCCAATTTTGATCCAAGGGCTCTTATTTGAACAAATTTGGTAGACACCCATTAGAAGATGTTTCATGCTAAATATCTTAGCTCTAGCTCTTTGTGTTCTTTAAAAAAAAGATTTTTTAAGTTTTTACTATATGCATATAGGGGAAATCAATGACCCCCTGGGTCGGGGCCAATTTTGACCCCAGGGCTTTTATTTGAACAAACTTGAAAGACACTCATTAGAAAATGTTTCATGCTAAATATCTTAGCTCTAGCTCTTTGGGTTCTTTAAAAGAAGATTTTTAAAGTTTTTACTATATGCATATAGGGAAAATCAATGACCCCCGGGGCGGAGCCAATTTTGACCCCAAGGCTTTTATTTGAACAAACTTGGTAGACACCCATTAGAAGATGTTTCATGCTAAATATCTTAGCTCTAGCTCTTTGGGTTCTTTAAAGGAAGATTTTATAAGTTTTTACTACATGCATATAGGGAAAATAAATGACCCCCTGGGGCTGGGCCAATTTTGACCCTAGGGCTTTTATTTGAATAAACTTGGTAGTCACCCATTAGAAAATGTTTCATGCTAAATATCTTAGCTCTA